GCCAAACATAAAAAAAAAAAATCTAAAACTGTCTAAAAATGGCAGACATATAACACTTACTACAATCATCTAACATTTAATGTAAAATGTAAAAAAAATATATATACTGTATATAAAAAAAAAGACTGAGCAAATTTAAACTATGATTAAAAAATATATATACAATTAACAAAAAGCATGTGAAGTCTGCTACAAAATAGCTAATTTAAAGGGGTCCTATTATGCTTTTTCACTTTTTCAACTTTAGTTAGTCTGTAATGTTGCTGTTTGAGCATAAAAAAGATCTGCAAAGTTACAAAGTTCAAAGTCCACTTCAAAAGGAGATATTTTATTTAACAGAAATCACTTTTCAAAAACTACAACGAACGACTCGTTTGGACTAGAACTCATATTTTCCGGGATTTGTGATATCACAAATATCGACGAATGGGATGAGACCTGGTTGAGCTGCACTAGAGAAGGCAACAAGTGTTATCACTAAGACGGAGACACGCTAGCTTTCCCAAGGCAGACGAACTTAGAGTGGTTACAATCATCCGGGTTTAAATCGCGCTCAAATTGATTTGATTTTGATGCAATATTTACACTGAAGCTCGCATGCGGTTATGGTAAGGGGCATGACATTTCCCGACCAGGTGCAGAGTGGTGCCAATCACAACACACACTGGCCCAGCTAACCAATCACAGCGCATTTCGTATTTCAGAAAAGGGCCTTCATTTGATACAGGAACTATTCGAGCCGTTCATGCCAGACTGGCGAGAGAGGTGTTGTAATAATGTAAAATATGTGAAAAATAATGTGTTTTTCCAACAAACTAGTATGAGAGCCTGTTCTACACCCCCAAAACAAAATCAAGACTTTGTAAAAGAGCTTAATAGGACCCCTTTAATAAAATTATATAAATTATAACTTATCAAAGAAATGTTATGATAATTTCACAAATGAAAAACAATTATTTTGATTGCACTGCATATTCAACAGTTTAATAACTGAATCTGACAGTCCTTCTAAAGAAGTATCAATTTTACAAACCAATCTCCTACTTAATGGCAAATTATAATACAGTTCTGGTTCACTAATTTGATTGACAAGTATTTATTCAAACCGTATTGGAATTTACTTCCCTATTTGTATCACTCCAATTGTTTGTGCTCACTAAATGTAATTACAATTCTATGGTTTACAACATACTCTCATTGGCAAAGCAAAAATAAGCAAAAAACGTACTGCCCTGTGTCCCGATATTAATTTTTTGTTTACAGAACTGTTCTCTAATAGCAATACAACACATGCAAATGTTCTGTAACAGTGCTGATACTGCTAATCAGTCCTTATATTGATGTTCAAAACACCTTGCTTTCAGAATTTAATCAGCAATGTGCTTCTCATTTTAGAGGAACATGCACATTGCTATGTTGATGTCTTGGATCCCGGTAGTTGTACACTCTTCATCAGTGGTAAAGGATAATAGCCTAAAACTAAACAAACATTCAAGCTAGATTAAAGAAAGAATTGGGTGGGATCAATGCTTCATGCTTATCTGCCACCGAAAAGGAAGGAGATGGCTTTAATACAGGTGACTGCAATGCAAAACTTTACACAAAAAAACCCCTACAGATAATATTAATGATCGTAAAACATTATTTTGCATGCGCGAGTGGCAAAAATAATGTCTGTGCACCAAAAACACACAACCCCATAAAAATCAGGCATGCAGCCATATACCCAGAGGCACACATTCACACGCTTGGCGTCTAAGATATCAGGATACATGCTAAGTAGATCCTGTTCTAGGTCTTGGCCTCCACCCTTCACTAGGATGTAACGCTTTGGGTTGGGCTCTTCTACTGCAGGATGTGTCAGCACATCAGAGAAACAGCTAACCTGGCATTAACTCCGAAAAAGACAAACACACGCAACGCAGAGGTCATGCTATGAAGGATCGAACCTCATCGGCGGCCTTTACAATGCACGTCGCTGTTTGAGAGCGAGTGACTGAAGCTCATATGATGATCGGTGAAGCTCTCCAACATACATACATAGATTAGACCATACAGATGGAGACTAGACAGTGCCAATGCAAAGCATAAAGAGGAAGCAATAACACTTCACAACAAATGAATTACAATTACACTATTACAATTATTATATATGCAAAGAATATGAGATTTCCTTCTTCATATATATATGCTATACACTATTGTTCAAAAGTTTGGGGTCAATAAGATTTTTTAACGTTTTTGAAAAAAAGTCTCTTATATTCACCAAGCATGCATTATTTGATCAAAAAAAATACAGTAACCACAGTAATACTGTGAAATATTATTACAACTTAAAATAACAGATTTTTATTGTAATATATTTTAAAGTGTAATTTATTCTTGTGATGCAAAGCTGAACTTTCAGCATCATTACTCCAGTCTTCAGTGTCACATCTTTCAGAAAGCATTCTAATATGCTAATTTGGTTCTTAAGAAATATTTCCTAATACTCTATTATTATTATCAATGTTAAAAACACTTTTGGTGCTTAATATATTTTGGAAACCATGATATGTTTTTTTTCAGGAATCTTTGATGAACAGAAAGTTGAAAAGATCAGCATTTAACATTATAAATGTATTTTCTGTTACTTTTGACCAATTTAATGCATACTTGCTGAATAAAAGTCCAAAACTTCTTACCAAAACTTCACAAACTTACACTTACACTAACAAGAATCAACAACAAAAATCAAGATTCTTCAGACAGGGTACCATGTTAATACCATATGTCTTAGTATGTACATACAAATACCATGGTACATGAAGATTTAGTGTCATGATTTTATCATCTTATACCACAGGACTTTTAGTAAGGGAACTGCCTGTAAAATGCAGGCTTTAATAAACCTTTATAGCTTTTTAAAAGTTGACTATCTAAATACATGTCATTGTTAGAACCCTTTGATTTTTGACTGTTTTCAGAAGTCAATAAAAACTAATTGCAATCTTTAAGGTTGACATAATGAAGTAATGCCACAACACTAAGCACTTAAGACACTGTTTCTGAATATATGACATAAGGATGCCCTCTAGTGTCAATATTTAAGAATGCACTTTCTCCAAAAGTGTGAATACTGTATATCACCCAAAACACAGTTACCTAATCAATAACCCAAATTTTCCCAAATTCACAAAACAAAAAACCCCTCTGTCAAATACAAAGGATAGCATTCTCTTCTTACTCACCTTTGTACATATCAACCAGTGAATCCTTCAGTTCCTGTTTGTGCATCCATGACAGCTGATGCAGCTCCTCCTCACTCTCTGAGAAGCTTTCCCTTAAAATCAACAGAGGATATGCATCAATAACTTATAGCTGTTATTCTTGAATGCTAGAGCTTGAGCTCAGTGTGTTGAGTGAGTTGTGGTCATATGTTTACTAGCTCTCAGTGTGGGTTAGACTAATCTCTTCTGCAACGTCCTCATGAGCTCAGGGCTCACATATCAAAAGCTGAGTGTGTGTATGACCAGCCCTACAATTACTTTCCTTTCTGCAAAAATATCAAAGTAGCTGCAACATTCATAATGAATGGGTTTCTATGACTGGGATATTCCATATTACTCCAAAGCACAAGGGTGTGATGACTAGTAACCCTATGATGATATGGGATGGGTTTCAATATTTCTTAGCATGCAATTATTCATGCAGATAAGCTGGAAAATTGGCAAAATAACTGGCAGATCCTGACAACCAGGACTGTGATGAAAACAGTCCAATGTCCAGTCAAAACTCATGCAAAGACCAATAAAATCAGCCTAATAAAAAACCCACAATACCACAGATTTAGAATTCCTACGATTTCCTTTTATTTTTATGTCTTGTTAATGCAAGTGAGGGGTATTTAAATATACATTTATATATGTGAAAGCGGTTATTTATATTTCTGGCTTGACAACTCTACTGTACATGGCAATGTTAATGTGTTTGGCATTTTGTGCGTTTACTGCTGCGGCAGAGTAGGTACCGAGACTTGCTACTGCCAATACATCCACAGACATGCTGCTGTGAGCATTTAAGAAATACTGCTGCTGCACATATAACATATATAAAATAACCCCCAAATATAACATACAGGGTTTCTGAAGCATGCTGCAACTGCTACAGCGAGCACTAGCCAAGTATTTGAATGATGCGCAGCAAGCTCATTGGCTGCTGATGTGCAAAGAAACAGCTGCGCCACGTGAATAATGATGTGATTATATCAGATTGAGTTAGAACCTATAGGTCTGCGCCATCTAGAGATTCATGACAGAAATTTGAATTTGTTATATTATGTCATCATCAAAACTGTTATCTCGGCAATCCGTGTGTTTACTAAGTTTGATATTATTAGGGCGTTACAAATCAACAGATTTTGACAAGTGAACTTCTACAGATATACCCTGCTCAGTGTGCACTGTGCAGGGACCCTGTGAGTCAGAGCACATGGTGCACTGAAGTCTGTTCAGGAAGTTGGGAAGTCATAATTACAACATCAGATGCATTCAAGTCACTTTGGTCAAAGCAATATGGCGATGTACCTTTTCTGATGTGACTTGAATGCACCAACATTTCCACTATCCTGCAGTCTAGATTCAACCTTAATCAAACACACCTCAACCAGGTAATGAAGGTCTTCAGATTGCTTGAAAACTACAGGTTGGAGCAGATTGGACTAAAACTTTGCAGAACAGAGAATTAGCAGGGTTTAATATCCCTGACATAGGCCTAAGTGTAACAACGTTAAACATTGCACTTGCTTTTAAAATATTTTGTTATTAAAATATTTTAAACAAGTCTAAAATATTTCTTTAAGTTTACCAATTTTCAAATGTCAATTAAGTCAAACTTAAAATGTCTAAATGTCAGTGTGATTACAAAATCTCAAACCAAGTGGTATTTATTTTAAAGAAAGCTATAGCACAGCCATGCAGTTTATGTAATGAAATCCACCTGTGGTTTCTCTGCTAGGATACCTGTGGGAACTTGAGAGGATAATGGTGCTTCAAGTCATGTCGGAAAAATCATATATCACATGAAGCATTTGTATTAATAGTAAATTTGTTCAAATAAAGGTAATTTGTTTTATTGTAAGTGGGAATAATCTTTCCATAGTATTTTGCAACTACAATAGAATACATAATTAAGTTTACAGCACTTTAATAAATTGGATTAAAAACAAAGAAAAACACACCAATTTACATTCTTTATTCATCATTTTGTAGATGTAGAATAAAAAAATTCTTGTTGAATTTTATGTAGAAAAGGTACAACGCCATTTAAATCCAAACAAAGTAATTTGAAAGTAACCTGATGTCATAATTATGACTTAACAAGTCAATACGAACTATCCAGGAGAATGTGAATGCACTAAAAGCTCTAGCATAATTTATTTGCAAGTTCCACTTATTTTATATTTTATATCTAATAAAATGTAATTCAGTCAATTTGAACTGTGACTTAAATGTCCAAGTGCTTTTTACGGCTATATTTCTGTACCACTGTTTTCTTTAACCAGATTCAAGAAGACCTTCTTACAACTATATCTGAACATGAATCATTTGAAGAAGAAGAAAAAAAACATACAAGCAAATTAATAAAACGCCAAATGTTTTCATGACAAACCTAAAAGTTACACACTTTGGTCTAGAAGACAAGACGATGGCTATCAGTTGACATTAACAAACTGTGGCATACAATTTCTGTCAAATAACATCATTCCATACTCTACAAACACCTTGCTAAATGTACAATATATACACTTAAGTAAAATCTAGATCCCATGAGCAATATGCTTCTGTAACCTCAGATATTTCCATTATGTCTCATTATGTACATCAGTGTAACTGGTTAATAATGGAGATCCCATCATACTCACTTTATAGACAGCTCATTCTCCAAAGTTGATATTTTGTGTTTTGCCCTCTGAAGTGCACATTGAACATCCCGTGCCATGCTTCTGATATTCATGTATGTGTTAGTGTGAGTAGTAAGCCGGCGTTTTCTGACTGGACACTGTATACTTCATCTCAGCTTGCATGCAACATGATCCACGAGAGGAGACACTGGCTGTCTCAAAACCTAGTGAGCTCCCCATCTACATAGGACATGCCACCATGGTTATGTTTTTAAATTTGTGATTTTTTTTTTATATGCATCATGTTAATGTCAAAGTGTTCTTTGAAAACACCATGATATATTAATACATGATAATGATTTAGTTACGTTGGGTTTATATGGGTCAATGATAAAGGATGTCTGAGCTGAATTTTTTAAACGTGTACCATTTCTCAATGTGTAATTTCATAAAAAGGTCAAAATATGTGATAAAATAATAATAATAATAATGATTATGATGATAACTTTAACACTGTCATAAAGGTGTTAGGGTCCCCTTTGCAAATTATACTATAGATATTTAATATAATATATGATATGATATAATATAATATAATAATATTTAATTTAACACACAAACAAACAATTACTGACTATTCATTCAATTTTAATAGAAAATATACTATTATCCTTGCAATAACAATCAAGTAAAATAATCCAGAATGATCATTTGTTTTTGTTTTGTTTTTTAAGTTAAATTTATTTTGAAATTAATATCACTCTACAGCCATAATTAGGGGTGCTCCGAGGTACTCACCTTCATATTTTTTCATTAAAGGGGTCATATGATGTTGCTAAAAAGAACATTATTTTGTGTATTTGGTGTAATGAAATGTGTAATAATTATAATGCTGAAGGTGAGGTACTCCTTAATTAAATAACTTATAAAGTCATTTGAAAACCTTGTGGGAGACGTAATTTCACAAACAGCGTGAGTCTCAGTCTCTCTCTTGCGCTCTCTCTCTTTCTCTCTCAAAATACGCAAATGGCTTCAAATCACCACACATCGTGTCTGTCTATAAGCGAGCTGCACACTGCACAGTTGACACGGGAATTGTCACTTGCACAGTCGAGGCAGTGTCACATCATCACTATAGTGTAATAAATTGCATTTCTTTTTAATTCTTGCCAGTGTTTAACCATTCAGTGCTCGCGTGCTCTCCTGGAGACCGTACGCTCCGTTTGCAGTGCATACGTGGTTCGTATTTTTTCCGCGCTCATGTTAACAGATTAAAGCGGGTCCGGCAGTGCGTTCAGGAGCGGTGCATCTGCAGCAGTGCAGAGATCATTTCCACACTGAGTCTATTGCTGCGCTGCAAGCGCTGAATTAAAGTGACAGCGCATTGTTTGCAGTAAATATGAACATGGATTGACACGAAAATGTAGTAATTACACAAAATGAAATTCAGGCCCTGAATAAATGTCTAAAAATCCTGATTGGAGTATCACTATAAATAGTTATAAATTATAAAAAGAAGGCTTTAAAAAGATCGGTATCGGTGATCGTATTGGCAGATACTGCTTTCTGTGATCGGCCTCAAAAATCCTGATCGGAGCACCCCTAGCCATAATCTGTTCATTTTTTTTATTTAAAATAAAAGTTATTATTAATAATATACGAGTTAAAAAATAAAACGTAAAAAGCAAAAACTGTCAAATTTTTTAAACCCAAAATACGTAATAAAAAATAATAATTAAAAAAACGAAAGAAAGAAAGAAAGAAAGAAAGAAAGAAAGAAAGAAAGAAAAATGAAACGACACTTTTTCCCTGTCTCAGCATGATAGGCTATATAATGACTTAATAGATCCAGACAAAATGATTTCAATGTCATTGACCATACATCAACCTACCATGGTATTAGCACCACTGTACACGCAGTACTCTTTTGTAAAGATATACCAAAACAAGTGCCCAAAACCGCTTTCCAGGTAGGCAGCTCACTAAGTGTTGAGACGCAGCCCTTAAATCCATCCAAACAGCGGCGCACGAGTTTACGACTAACAAAGTAACACTTGACTGAAGCCGGAATGTTTCAAACAGCTCTAATGTGTTCCAAACACTTTATTTGTGTTTTATAATTTACTTTTTATTTCATTTTTATTTGTAAAATAACAATCAAGTGTAATAATCCAGAATGACTAGCTATTTGTTTTTGTTTTGTTATTTAAATTAAATTTATTCTGGAATTAATATCACTCTTCAGCCATAATCTCTTCTCTTTTTTTCTTTCAAATCAGCAGAATATAGAATGACTTAATAGATCCAGACAAAATTATTTCCATGTCAGTTGACCATAATCAACATACCATGGTATTACCACCACTGTACACGCAGGTCGGACAGGATTGTTACATTGTTACAGTGTTCATTGGAGAAAAAAGTCCTGAAAATAATTTTGAATTAAAAATGTTTCTCTTCACATTTATATATATATTAAAAAAATTATGCTTTATATTTACATTTTATTTTTATTTGTTACATATAATGGACCATTTATTTATTTAGCTATTACTACAATATGAAATAATAAAACAATATAATAAGAGCCAGTATAAAAGCTACTTTTTTAATTTGGCAAAAGCATTTTTGTAATATAATATATATGAAAATATGCATTTAGCTTCAAAAGTTTGAAAACTCTTGCATAATCGTGTAAATGAGAACCTATTATTTTAATATTATTTTTAAAATATAATGAAATATGTATTTGTGTTGCCTTTACTGTAATATATAAAATTATATAATAAAAAAACAGAAAATTATTTAATTTGGCAAAAGCATGCTGTCTTTATAATATAACATACATTTAAAAAATACCTCTTTAGCTTCAAAAAGTTTGAAAATCCTATGCTGTAAATGACATTCTGAGGTTTGTGGTGGTGTGAAGTGCAGTTGCGTCACGTGACATACAGTGGGCGTTTATTCACGCCTCTCAGACTCCTCAGATGTTTCCTACAAAGAAAGAAAGAAAGAAAGAAAGAAAGAAAGAAAAATGAAACGACACTTTTTCCCTGTCTCAGCATGATAGGCTATATAATGACTTAATAGATCCAGACAAAATGATTTCAATGTCATTGACCATACATCAACCTACCATGGTATTAGCACCACTGTACACGCAGTACTCTTTTGTAAAGATATACCAAAACAAGTGCCCAAAACCGCTTTCCAGGTAGGCAGCTCACTAAGTGTTGAGACGCAGCCCTTAAATCCATCCAAACAGCGGCGCACGAGTTTACGACTAACAAAGTAACACTTGACTGAAGCCGGAATGTTTCAAACAGCTCTAATGTGTTCCCATTTCTAGACAAGTCGTAACTAGTAGTCAAAGAAGTAAACTAGCGCCTTCAACTTGCTGCCTAAATCCCTCCTAGAGTGACACACTGTCTGACGCGGCGTCAAAACACAAACACTGCTTTTATTTTCTTCAAATTCATTAGTCATTCAGTAAAAGCATGAATATTTATGCAGTGAGACATCGATAGGAGCGGTCATTGAAAGATGGGCCGTCGTCGGACTTACCATGATTAGGATTATGAGGTCGGCGTTCATTTGGTGCAGGTCGGACAGGATTGTTTCCTAAAAGTATTGGAGGGGAACTTCCTATTACAGCGCACCCCACCGGGAGAACGACAGACAGTGCTGCGTTTGACCACTAGAGGCCGCTCACCGTACTAACCCAGTGCACCTTGAGAGGGAATTTACCAAAAATATGGCAATAGATAAGGGGTTCAGTCCGGTTTTAAGGTGGAGGCAAGGTGGTTTGCAGGTCATAAGAGGAATGGCTGAATGAAAAATGAACGAATAAACAAAAACTGAAAATGTAAATAAATGAATTAATAAATAAGACATTAAACATGTAGAAAAAGTATGTAAAAGCAAGAGATTGTAAGGCATTATTCTCTGTTAAAGTACTTTGATATATAAAAATTATTTAATTTGGCAAAAGCATGCTGTCTTTATAATATAACATACATTTAAAAAATACCTCTTTAGCTTCAAAAAGTTTGAAAATCCTATGCTGTAAATGACATTCTGAGGTTTGTGGTGGTGTGAAGTGCAGTTGCGTCACGTGACATACAGTGGGCGTTTATTCACGCCTCTCAGACTCCTCAGATGTTTCCTACAGTGTTTGTCTAAATGGAGCTGCTTGACTTGAACGGTGATCACCGCGCTCTCACGAACTCGTATTGGACTTATCAAAACAATTAGCAAAATGCCACTTTTACCGGTTTAATCACGGAAATAAATGCAAGAGGGGGATTTTGAAGTTGAAACTCTAAAGTTGTAGTTGTAGTCTATGAATACAATGGGATTTACTAACACCAAGTTAATTCATTAATCACTGCTGTTCAAACTTTATTTCCTGAGGTGAAGGAGATAACTCAGCTCTTTAACAGAAGATGTTATAATGGAGGTTTCTCTTTGTATCCTGCTCGTTTTACTACACTTCAATGAGGGAATTCATGGTAAGTTTGTTTTAATAATCGTTTAATCAGAGTCTGTGAACGCAGTGTTTCTTTAAACTCATCAGTGCTGATGTGGATGCTGTGTTTCACGATAAACATCGGTGTAAGTGTAAATATACGGGACATTTATTATGAACACAAGCAGAAATTTCTTATAACCCTCTTTTATAACCTTTCACATAATAATTTCTCATTTTTAATTAAATGCTAAGGATTGACTGGATGTCATTACAGATTAAAAACTAATGGAGCCTGAACGAATTTAAACCAATTCAGCATCTCTGTTTTTTTCTACAGTGTTTGTCTAAATCGAGCTGCTTGACTTGAACGGTGATCACCGCGCTCTCACGAACTCGTATTGGACTTATCAAAACAATGAGCAAAATGCCACTTTTACCGGTTTAATCACGGAAATAAATGCAAGAGGGTGATTTTGAAGTTGAAACTCTAAAGTTGTAGTTGTAGTCTATGAATACAATGGGATTTACTAACACCAAGTTAATTCATTAATCACTGCTGTTCAAACTTTATTTCCTGAGGTGAAGGAGATAACTCAGCTCTTTAACAGAAGATGTTATAATGGAGGTTTCTCTTTGTATCCTGCTCGTTTTACTACACTTCAATGAGGGAATTCATGGTAAGTTTGTTTTAATAATCGTTTAATCAGAGTCTGTGAACGCAGTGTTTCTTTAAACTCATCAGTGCTGATGTGGATGCTGTGTTTCACGATAAACATCGGTGTAAGTGTAAATATACGGGACATTTATTATGAACACAAGCAGAAATTTCTTATAACCCTCTTTTATAACCTTTCACATAATAATTTCTCATTTTTAATTAAATGCTAAGGATTGACTGGATGTCATTACAGATTAAAAACTAATGGAGCCTGAACGAATTTAAACCAATTCAGCATCTCTGTTTTTTTTTTTGTTACTGTGGTCGAGTTTGATTAAAAAAAAAAAAAACGTACATTCATACATACATGCATACATACATACATACATAAGTACATAAAAGATTGTTTTAATATTTTAACCACTGTATTGTGGTGAAGGTATTTGAAAACGTGTTTCAAAAAGAGACTTTTGTGTTTAAATTAGAGGCACACTTTTGTTATGTATCATTATTTAACCAAATAAACATTTCTAGTGTTATTAAAATAATTCTGCTTAAACAGCTATTTAGAGCCTCTATTCTGTCACAGCTGATTGAATCAGTGTCATTTGTGATAGATCGATAGATAGATTGGATAGATGGATAGATTGGATTGATAGATAGATAGATAGATAGATTGGATAGATAGATAGATAGATTGGATGGATAGATAGATAGATTGGATAGATTGGATAAATAGATAGATTGGATAGATTGG